ATTCAGGTATTCAGGCAGCCATAGGTGTCGTGGCTGTCTGAATATATTATCTGGCAATGAAGATTCCCCCTTCCACGTGGTTTAGCGTGAATGGAGAAATAATTTTATCTGGCTCAACGAGAGGATTCTAAATGTGTATGGCTACCTTAACTAAAACTTACCCTTTAAATTAGTGTTTTCAGTAAGAGCACAGTGTCATTTAACAGGGGATCCAAACAACAAATCAAATGTACTAATAAACAGCTATCCAGCTAAAGTCAAAAAGTCCACTCTAAATCCTCTGTATCTGAAGCCAGTTATCACAAAGCGACCCACACGTGGGGTTGGGTATCTGCTTCCTGCAGCATGTTCTGTGTAACCCCCTCCTCTGACTGATTTACCACCAGTCACATTTAAACGTCCATGGTGGGATCAAATCTGACTGGTGGCTGGGAGAAACCTCTTTGTACGGATGCTTAAGAATCACAGCAGTGTTAGAAAAAAACTTTGCTGCTTCTTAAACAACTAAGCAAAAGGGGTTCACAGCTCATCAAATAATAGGAATGGGATGGCCTGGTGCACTAAAACTGTCTAGATGAAAACTGCAGAACTAAAGTCTCATGCACAGTTGCTGTGTACAGCCTTCCTTGGTAATGAATGGCTGTACGTGGCTGAAGGTGAGTATATGTAGCTACTTGTATAAACCTGCTTATGCATGAAGCCATATGCAACTGGATGCAGACAGCCTGAAACCAGGGCTAAACAGCTTATGCATGCACAGGTTTACACTAGTAGTAGCATAAACCCATGTACAGCCATTCATTACTATGGAAAGCTGTACAAAGCAGCTGTGTATCCTAAAAGCAGAATTATGCCAAATGTATATGTCAAATGCCAAAAAAGCGCTTGTGTGCATGAGCCCTAAGGAGGTAGTCTCTGTGCATCTCCAATCTTCATTTTTAGTTGTAACTGCAATGCATACTATAACAGTCAGTATGTAAAGTGCCAATAAAATGTGATACTTGACTCTACATTGAATCTTTATAACTGGATTTCCCGTTGGCCTGCCTCACATCAAAGACGGGGAAGACAGCAATTACAAAAATTACAACACATACTGTGGGAAAATGAAGTGGTAACTAACTGATAAATCCTCCTATTAAATCTTTATATCTTTATTCATCCTTCTGTAAACGTCTTAAAGTGATTCAGTTCCTCGATATTCCAAAAGATCCCTGAACACTAACAATTAATGGCCGCCAGTAAATTCAGCCGGATTAGATGTCAGATCGGAATAAAGCAGATGCCGGGAGCTCTGGCTGAAAATGCAAACTTTATATAAGCATTGGAAATCATCTCCGACGTTCGCACATACAGAGACCCGTCCGGCTATAACTTACTGACCACATCCCATGAGCATTTCCACTTCAATGTAATGGAAATTGTAAAATTCAAAGGGACTTTACAATGAAACTGTTCTTTCCAGATGAGTGATGCTGCGCTGGTGACCTGGAGGCCACACACAGCCAGTATAGTTTTAATAATGGGGCAAAACCCCCTGAACTATCAGCAAAAAGGTCCATCAAGTGAATTCAATAATGGACACTCTAAAATAACTCAAATCTAAGCCTTCAGAGACATGAGAAGACCAGATACCTTCTTTTGTTAAGTTAGCCCTCGTGCTAATTATTCCAAATTCTTTTATCAAAATGATAAAAGAGGGTCTAGATGGCAAACCATTAAAGTGTATCTAAAACCAAATTCCAAATATCTTGCTGCACATTTTAATGTAACAAAGTTATCTTTCAATTAAATCCTTCCTGGTGGTTGTACTAGCAAAGTGTTTTCACAACAGGCACTTCCTTTCCTAAGGTGACAATGCTTATTCAATTCAGCTGCAAACATTGTCACGTGTACCTGCATGCTACTAAACTGGACTAGAAGAAGCCCAGTGCACTGTCACATTTCACTGTAGTCATCACAGTTAAAAGACTGGTTAACACCGGCTGTGTTGGGCTGTGCTGGACGACAGCGCAGTCACAACGCAAAGACATGGCAATTTGCCTTGATTACAATCAGCTCAGTTCACACCACCATGGGTAAAATATCATGTTTGTTCTAGGCCTGGATTAATGTTACAATGTAATGCTGTATTATCTGCAGTGTCCAGGCAGAAAACACAAAGTCACAGATGTAAAGCCCCCTTCAGGCTGGATCCATTATGAAAAAAAAAAATCTGTACGCATACTTTTGGTTCAGATGCATGATGTCACAGGTCCTCTTCTTTCACTCACAGCGGGCAGATACTGAACGCTACAAAGAATCAAGACATGACGCCTTTCTCTATAGCATCCTCCCTGAGTCTAGAGTGGGTTATTGATGCCTTAGGCACACAGGGAGTGGTTAGAATGACCCTGGACATTTTTCAACCTAGAAGACAAACACAGCTGGAATGGTCAGTGGGTAAGACTGCTGGAGAGGAAGTCAGTGTTGGAGACGGAGCTGCTTTTTCCTCTGGCAGAGCGTGGGTGCTTAATGCTGCAGAGAGTGATGCCAAGTCCCATATGTCATAAAGCGCTACACAAACTTTTGGTGCAATATAAATCCTGTATAATAATAATAATAATGCTAAGTCATGACATGATGCCTCTCTTTATAGCATTCTCCTATGAGTGCAGGATGCAGGCCCTTAATTCCCTGGGCTCACAGGAAGAGGATTGAATGAGCCTGGGCGTCTTTCAACCCAAAAGACAAGCAGCGCTGTATTGGTGAGTGGGTGCTTTTTCAAGACGATAAGGACCTGGTATTGGCAAGTATTGCTACCAATAATGAGTATTTCTAAGGTTTGAACATACAAGTCCTAATCCTATACAATGCCTGGTAATCGCTATCAGCTACACTTAAAACAGTAGCTTGGCTTGCAATGCGTACTACAGACAGCCTTATTTGTTGAAATGCACTTTTATTGCTTGTAACCATTTCCATTACTAGCTTTCACCGTTTGTATCTTGACGATGTACATTTAATGACATTATCTACAAGTGAAGCAGTTGCAGTCAGGAAGGCTGATAATATTCAATATTACAGGACAGAAACACAATGACAACGGAGAAAGAACAGGCACAGTCATCCAGAGGAGAGGAGCCCGTCAGGGGAAAACAAAGTGACAGAATGTTCAAAACAAGAGAGTCGTTTCTTTACGATCAAACCCGTCAGAGGCTCCACGTGTACTGCGTCTCAGCAAGACAGAATGACCAGGAATTACTACATTAATAGGAGAATGGAGGAGAGATGTAACTTGAGGTGTCTGTTTCCAGCAAGGACATGTTCTTAAGATAAACTTCTCTATAATGAATACACATGGTGCATGACACTTACCTTTCAAGGATATGTCTGGAGACACATCAGGCACATAGAAGCTGAGATAATGGGCTGCACAAGTACGGACCATTTTCAAATAAACTTTTTGTTTCTACCAGGAAATTAATTCAAAAAAATGTTTTCGGAATGTCTTGTCAATTTTCTAATAATTAATGGGGCAAATCCAATCAGATTGATTTCAACAGTGGTGACGGAAAAAATCAAAGGAGCGGGATGGAATTATTTTCTTGAATGAACAAAATTCTATCTGCCAGTGGTATGGCCACCTTATCAAAATAACATTTTAGACATGTCTAGCGATTTGAAAAAAAAACCCCCTGCAATACATAGATGGAACACTGGTGTTTGCTAAAATAGTGATTCAGTAATTATCTTTAATAGCTCAAAGAGTCATTGTGAATATGCCAGGTACAAGCTATTTAGGGTAACCGTTGCACAGCTCCGGCTGGTGGAATGTCCCTCTGTGTTCCATAGACCTGCATTGGACATGATAAAGTGATCCTTAGACCTTTGGATCCCAGGGGAGAAGAGGCTGCTGGGACCATTCTAGAATCCCTGAGGAAGCTGGTGGGAGTGGGGATCAGTTAAGTAAATCTGCTTTACGTCAGCCCCTAGATAAAAACGAGAGTACTTATAGTAACCCTTGCAATGGTACTTAGCCCCACTGCAAGGGTACTTTTCTTGCATACCCAGAGATGGGTTTTAAAGGAAAACTATGAAGTGAGTGATTTCCACTCATCCTCATAGTTAGAGCTGACCTGTGACAAAGAAGCTGTCACAGATTGGCTCTATCAATCGGGAAGTGAGCAGAAACATGCACCTATCCACTCTCTTCCCGATCGTCACCACTCACTGCAGGGATTCCCGCCTCCCCTCTCCAATCTTCCAGTGCTGAGTGGAGGGACAAACAGGGGAGGGGGCGGACACAGCTGGATCAGCCTGTAGATAGGCAGAGCCAGCTATCGATCACGCAGCTGGGTGGATCTCGACAGTATTGTCGGGATCCGTCCTGGCTGCGGTGCTCTATTGCCCGCGATATACTGAGCTTTGGGTCACAGGAGGAGGTTAGTATATGTCCTCCCATGACACTAAAGAGAACTATGGGGGAAAACATTTACACCATCTTTTAAGCCTCAATAGACACATGTTAAATAAGACAGGAAAATGGTACTGAACAGCAAAATTCAAAGTTCTAGAAAGTCAACTAAAGTTCTAGGAGTTATGCTTAGCTCTTTCTACAATCTCCTAGTATAGTAACTCTCTGCCTTAACACCTGTCTGAGATTAAAGAATAGTTTATATCATTCTGTTAGCTCGGGCTGCATAATGATCTCTTGAAAGAGAAAGATCACGTGACAAATCATTTGAGATAAAATGATTATCAAGAGATAAAAGAACAATTAATCTTAAGCAGACTGCTAAAGTTCTGCAGTGTTAGCAGTATTGAACACTGAATGGTTAAACTGATGCTTTAAAAGAAATAAGTACTGCATTTAGACTATAGTCCAAGAGGCCCAAAAGATTGTGCTTTATATCTACAGTAAATATACATATACTGTACATACAGTATTACGGTGTTCTTTGTCTACAGGAAAACAATGTAAAATTGTACAATAAAGCAGAAATAAATGGCGGCCTTACTTCATCTCCAGGATCTCCTCTAGCTGTTTTCGGCGGTCTATCATCAAGTTGTTCAGGTGTGCTTCCTTGTCAGCAAGTGTTTGTTGAGTTGCAGAGAGACGGGCTTTGGTGGAATCCAGCTCCTGTCTTGTCTTTTCAAGAGCATTCATGAGATCATCCATCTAAAGAAAGAGAAATAAATTGGATTTTTTTTTCTTGGCAATTAATAAAATGATTTTAATTAAAGAAGTACATGTGGGTATACTTCTACAAGCTGAAGCGAGAAACTGCCAAAATAAGCAAACTTTAAAGGAAAGGATATCCCTTTTTTCAAATATATATTAATAGCAAGTTTATGTAGTTAATAAAACATAATCAAGTCATCTGTTGTGCTGTGGTGCACATAATTACGATATAGCACTACAACAAACAGAATAACCAACATACTATAAATGAAATAATAGTTACAATTAGGCCAGAAGGATTCATAATGGAAAGGGTCACTGTGTTACAGATTATGGGAAATTTGCAGATGTTTTCCTTTACTGGTTCATCTTATCCTACCATTCCATCAGGAGAGTCATTACCAAATGTTTTCTGAAATACTGTAACACACAATAATGATGGAAAATTATCCTTTAAATGGATCAGTGACAACAACTAAAGTATATCCAAACCCATGAATTTTTTTTAAATTTTATTGCAGTTTGGACACTGGCAAACAAATAAATGTAAGCCAGACCCCATATAACTCCTTTATCCAGTGCCAAGGGCAAGAACAAAAAACACAGAGGAGTGGGGGACCTGTGTACTTCAATGGACTCCAAGAAAATGTTATTATCGTACTTACCACAACATTTTTTGTTGGAATCCATTGAGGGACACAAGATTGTAGAATAAAGGAAGGAAAGGAAGGTGATGAACTATGGTTAAGGAAGCAGTTGCACTAAGGCTATAAGTTTACAATATCCCACCGAGGGAAGGACTGTGGCATAAATACTTACAAAAGAAAGACTCTGTCAATAGAGCAGATACATATACAGTGCAGCTTCTGGACTTAATGTCTACAGCTTTAGGTTTCAGTTGTGATGGTCTCCTACAAGCAGCCTAACTTACGTCTCACATGGGCTTAATGTCCATTTACATGCATAGAGAACGCTGGCTTTGCGCCTGGGAACATTTGATTTATTCTCCCTTCAAAAGTAAATGCCTTTTTTAGCTCTTTTTGACCAGGTTATCAGTCTGTAGATGAGGTGTATCAACCTTATTACTTGGCAACAAACCCCCAGCCTCTTCTGTTCAGCCATCTGTAAATGACACTCCCTCATCTTAAATGTGGGGAGTTGTCTGTTGGTTTACTGATTACTCTTCAGTTGTATCTTCACAGATTTAATGTTGAGGTTTACCCCTATAACTTGCCTGTTGAACTTAGAATAAGTATCTTTATTGCCCTTTTTTCTGGCAACCTTATACTCTTTTGGGTCTTTTTTGCCAAAATTGCATAGGTTTGTTGAGCCTAGACAGAAACCCACTCTTGAGTGTGATATTCCACTTACTACTGCACCCCTCTCTGCTATGGAGTTTGTTCCCATTATTGGGTTTATACTCATCAATGAGGGACACAGAAATGTAGATACAGTCTGGACGTCCAAAAGAAGACCAACTGAAGAATGGGCCCCCCTGTACAACAGAGGAAGCTGACAACAACCAAGGAAATGCTACAGAGGCTAGGATAGAGAAGACCACCACCAGAAGGGAATGACTCCATCCGAAGGAACACCGAGCCTGAACCAGCAGAAAACTGTGAAACCAAAAACCCACAAAAACAGGTAAAACAACATCACTGCCTGATAAGTTAGAACAAACCCACAACATGATGTGTCTAACAGAAAAAATATATAAGAGCAAGTCCCCAGGGGAAACTTCTGACAAAATTAGGTCTGCAAGATAAAAAAAACTGCTGGTCTACACCGAAAGACCTACCCTCTTAACCTTTATGAATAAGGGAAGGAAAATTCCATGATGAGAAGGAGGTTGCCTAGCTAGGCAACCAGTCTTCCTAGATGAGATATCCCAAGAATGTTAGAGTCATCACATTGCAATAGCCCATAATGATTGCAAGGTGACCATGAGACCAGTAAAAAACCAAAGGGTAAGATACCATGAAGTCACAGAAAAAAAACATCACCTCCAGACATCATAATGACATCATATTCGTGCCAGAATACATGTCAAAATTGTATATAAACAGATGGCTGATATGCCTCTGAAATTATCTATTGGTCCAGCCATTTGTTTAGTGTAAGATTCCTTATGTGTCCCCACTGATAAAAGTCCCTGGTGGTCAAGGGGGCTATGAGGATGCTGATGGTTGCCCAGCACAGTATGCCCAGCACACCTGGTGCCCACATGGCCAATCAGCTGTGATCTGGTGCTAGTGGGTGGAACCTCCTTTGCCTACGTCAGGCAACCTCCTAGGACCCTAGCAAAAAACTGAGGCATGCTAGGTAGAGGAGTATTTTTCTATGCCAGTATCCAAACTTTATATAGGCAGCAGTATAACCTGGCTGTATCTAAATTCCTGTGTCCCTTAATAAACGAGAAAGAAATTCCTTTTGATCTTGTATTGTTGTACACTGAACTGAAATCTCAAACAATGTTATCAGACTTCCCAGGTCTTCTGGGAACTACAAAACAATTCCTTTCTATGTTATGGAAATGAGAAGAAGGGAAGGTGTTCTACAGTACTGGATGACAGCGCTGCTCCTTCATAGATGCAGTACAGTGAGTGAAAGTTGTCATCTTAAGTGTATTACTGGTGGGATCACTAGGTAAAAATGAAGGAATAGGAAGCATAAAAAAAGGAAAATGAATGCAGCCACCTCAACTAAGGACTGGTATTCAGCAATATACTACATTTTTTTCTTGGGTTTAGATAAGCTTTAAAGGAGAACTATGGGGTGAGTGATTTCTACTCATCCTCATAGTTAGAGCCGACCTGTGACAAAGAAACTCTCACAGGTTGGCTCTATCGATCGGGAAGTGAGCAGAAACATGCATCGATCCACTCACTTCCTGATCGTCTCCCTGCAGTGAGTGGTAACTGTCAGTGACCGCTCCCCGCAGGGATTCCCCCCTCCCCTCCCCAGTCCTCCAGCGCTAAATGGAGGAATCAAAGGGGATGGTGCGGGCACATCTGGCTCTGCCTCTACATAGGCAGAGCCAGCTGTCACTCACGCAGCTGGGTGGATTTCAACAGTATGTCAGGATCCGTCCCGGCTGCGGCACTGTCAGTATATTGCAGGCAATAGCCCGCTATATACTGAGCTTTGGGTCACGGGAGGAAGTTAGTATATGTCCCCCCGTGAGTCTAAAGACAACTATGGGGAAAATACTTACTCTATAGTTCTCTTTTAAGACATTAAAACTTACTGTATACTGCACTGAAGCATATCCTTTTTTATGCTTTTGGTCTGTTTGATATACCACTGGAAGATATTTTATTATATCAGTTTAATCATAGCTGTCCTATGGATGTTTTCTGTGTTATTTTAAAGAGTCCTTCTAGTTCTTATCTTGGACTGCAGTATGATTAGCCCTTATGTTGATGTGATGATCTGAGAGTGAAAGTGATTCAGTAGTTTAGCAAAAGACAATGGGCAGAGCTGACACCACTCAGTCCACATCCTGTGTAAAGTAATCAATGAGCAGCTTCTGTAAATGTTCATGTACAAGTCATTTGTCACCTCTTCATCTTGGCATTCCTCCATCATTATAACTATAAGTTGTAAATATAAATGATAAACTAGAGAAAGGAGGGCCGAGTCTTAAGCATTAGATTGTAAGCTCTCACGGGCAGGGCCCTCCTTACCATCTTGTCTTGAATTGTATTGTGATTGTAATGTATTCCTTATATTGTAAAGGGCTGCACAAACTGTTAGCGCTATATAAATCCTGTATAATAATAATAATAATAATAGCAGTTTTAAATGGTAACCTTAAGAGTTGCCATGGAAAATTGTTACGCTTTACCCTCCTTGCTCCATTTTCATAACTCAGCCCCAACAGGTGCACAGGACAAAACATGTTGTTACCACAGAGACCAACCAAATATTGTGGCGAGAGAAAAATAAAAATAAATGATTATACACAGAATGATGAGAGTGGGAGACAGCTCAAGAAAGGCCCTGTTTAGAGACAAGCCTTTACAGATGCTTTGTTGCAGAACCCACATCCCTGTAAAATGCTCTGTGTAAGTGTTAGGTAAACACACTTAGGAAAACGAGGCTTTCTGATTATTACGTTTTCTTTAAAAGTAGTGGGACGCCTCAACGATAGCTTTAAAAAACAGAGATAAGAGCTCTTGAAATTATAGATCTTTTTGTGAAGGTTTTATTTTAGAAATTTACACAGATATCCGAGGGATTTTCTTTGAACAGTTAACAAAGTGATGGGTTTACAAGCCAGCTGCAACATGCCAGAGACCTGAGCTACGGTTCTCTACGAGAGATCAGAAGACTTCTTTTCAAGCCTTTCTCTGGAGTAAAAACTGGCTACCTTAGGGCAGTGGAAGAGGAGCAAATCAGTAACATTTCATATTACTCATTTAGGAAAGCTGACATTTCGATGGTGCTTTGCAGAGAGCACTGAGCCATTTACAGAAGTCTCTGTTCCCAAAGGTTAGTGTTGTGCGTCACCTACACTTCATACAGCTTTATGACCTTGCAAGATAGTGGTGCTCATAGTTATGACATGGATGGCGCCATGTGGAACTCCAAAGTAAGAATCAGGTAATCATTAGCACACATGAGGTAGAATTATTCCCAGCCATGGCACTGTCTGCACAGTGGCTAGGAACGGAGTCAGCCATAATGCCCCACTGCTTTGACTCTACCAGGTTACCATGGGGATGCCACAATCTCGGTACAACAGTCGGGTGTCCCTTGGAATTCATGGCAGGAGTGATATGCATACATATGATTTATTTACATTAGTGCACATTGTGTGAGATGGTTTTATTATTGTTCTTTATGGATTTTGGACACATTTCTTTTTTAATTATGGTGGGATATGACATCATAGGGGTGTCACTGGTACCTTTGGTATTCACATTGGGGGGAATTTATCCAAACCGGAGCCGACAAAATCTAGAGAAGATTTGCACTACAGCCAATCAGCTTCT